CTTGGCTGAACATTGTTAAGTATTAATAATTAAGTTTGTTTTGTTCCAAATTTGTATGTATTTTGTACTTTGTAACAGTTAACGTCTTTGTTGCTGTTAAAGCACATTTATTTGTCTTTCTTAAATTTCTTTATTACCTTTAAGTTCCAAATGGTTTAGTCCAAGTAGGAGGGGCTTTGCCTTTTTAAGATGGTCTCTCAGTGTGTTAGGGAACGGGAGCTGGCCGAGCAGGAGAAGTAAAGTAAGGTCGGAGTGCTGGGTCTGTCCTCGAATCGAGCGTGCCGCGAGGAGTTTGTGGAAAAGATCATTGGGGGGATCGGTGTTAAATTTGGAAAACAGATTATTATATTTATCGGGAGTTTACGGCGGTTGGGCACGACTGTTCCGTGAATGGATCAGAGGTAGGTAGGTGGGGGGAAATGGATAATAATGAAGGGAGAGGTGAAGAAAGGGGAGGGTTGGGGATGGGACAGGAGAGTGATAAACATGATAAAAGAAATAAAAGAGTAAGGAGTGATAGTGTTGATGATTCTGAAAAGGAAAAAGAAAACCAGGAGACTTCTCAAGAAGGGAGGAGGGGGATTTATGATGTTGTAATATGGTTTAATGAAAAGAATCAGGGGATTATGAAGAAGGTTAGCCCATTTGTGCTAACAACAACTCTAGCAAACAAGATAGGGGAGATTGAGTTAGCAAAAATCCTTAATAATGGGAACTTATTGGTAAGATGTGCTAATGTAGGGCAAATGGAAAAAACCCTAAACATTAAGGATATAGCAAAGTGTAAGGTGGACAACACAGGAAGGGTGGGAATGAGGAAAAAAGATGGAAGGGTAGGGGTGATTACAGGGGTGCCAATGAGTGTTACAATGGGGGAATTAATGAAGAATATCAAGGGAGCAAAAGTTGAGAATGTCCAAAGAATGAAAACATCAAGAGATGTAGAGGTAAAGGACACAGAGACAGTGTCAATAGAATTTGAGGAAGCGATTCTGCCAAAGAAAGTATATTTAGGATTCATGAGCTATCCAGCGAGGATGTTTGTACCAAAACCAATGAGGTGCTTTAAATGTCAAAGGTTTGGTCACACTGCAAAGAACTGTAATAGGCAGAGAAGATGTGCTAGATGTGGAGGGGACCATGATTATGGAAAATGTGGCTCAGGGGTACCACCAAAGTGTTGTAATTATGGAGGAGCTCACAATGTGGCATATAGTGGATGTGAAGTTATGAGACGGGAGACAAACATTCAAAAGGTAAGAGTGCAAAAAAGAATAACATATGCAGAAGCTGTCAAAGGAAAAGGATAACAAGCAGCATGAAGAGGTAGATGTGGATACACTAGAGCGTAGGCAAAGTAACTTTGAAGGAGTGTTTGTGAAAAAAATAGATTTAGTTACTGTAACAACGTTCGTAGGTCGGGAAGAAGGAGGCGGGAACCGGCGAACATTTAAATACTTCAATAATAAAACAAACACAAAATGAAAGTAAAGCGGCAGCCACTCGCGGACGACTGCCGCACACAAAACACAAAATAAAGTCCAGGCCTGGTCCTCTCTCGTCTTTCACTGTCGTCACTCCTCCTTTTATCCTTCCGGAGCTCCTCCGTGGGACTCGAGACCGGTGAGTGGTGCAGGTGTCGCTCATTATCAATTACTCCACCGGCCTCGCTCCGTTCCCACGGCTCTCGGCCCTGCCCCCACTAGTCACAGTTACATTCATAGCAGGAGTGATAAATAGCACGGCAGAAGTAAAATCTAAAAATGACAAAATTCAGTTGGTGGTTAAAGCAGCAGTCAATCACTTGGGATTAATTGGACTGACATGGGAAGAAGTGAGGACCCTTGCTAATCAGTCAAGTCAAGAGTCATCATGGGTTGGTTAACAATATTAATTGTTATTATTTTACAATGGAATGCCAGGAGCTTACTGGCTAATGGACAAGAATTCAAACATTTTTTTAATGAGTTGAATGAGAGACCAGATGTAATTTGCATTCAAGTATCTTGGTTGAAGCCAAATGTAGATTTTGTGATTCATGGGTATACAATAATAAGGAGAGATGGGAATTCTGGAGAGGGGGAGGAGGATGTGTTGTATTCATTAAGGTGGGTATATCATATAGATTACTGGGCAAAGGAGATGATCAAGAGTATATAGTGGTGGAGGTGTGGGAAAGGGGAGGGGCAATTAGTATGATTAATTATTATAACCCATGTAAGAGGTTGGAGCTGAACAATCTTCTAAGATTACCAGGGCAAGATAGACAAAATATAATCTGGTGTGCAGATTTTAATGCTTATAGCTCGGTATGGGGAAGTGTACTTACAGATAATAATGTTAAAGTACTTGAAGAATTGATGGAAGAAAGAGAATTGATGTGCTTAAATGATGGAAGAGGAACTAGATGAAATTTGTCAACAGGGAAAGAATCTGTATTAGATGTAACGTTAGTATCTAGTTTGCTGGCTGGAAATACTAATCTTTCATTTTTCATAAAGAATGTTTAACTGGATCAAAGATTTTCTGTTCGGAAGGAAAATACAAATAAGGATTGGGGCAGATTTATCAGATCAATACATAGTTGATAATGGCATTCCACAAGGCAGTGTGATAAGCCCATTACTTTTCATTATTATGATTAATGACGTATTTGGAACAGTTCCAGAGGATATAGGAAGGTCTTTGTTCGCAGATGACAGGGTGCTGTGGAAGAGAGGAAGGAATATGGAATATGTTACCAGGAAAATACAGGAAGCAATTGATATAGTGGTGGAGTGGGGCTATAATTAGGGTTTCTATAGAGAAGACTCAGTCAGTCTTCTTTACCAGAAAAAGAATTCAGGAAGGAATAAAGTTAAGAATGTGTGGGAGAGATTTAGAGAAAGTTGGAACATTTAAATTTCTTGGAATTAATTTGGATTCACGATTGACATTTGCAGATCATATCAGGAGAATGGAGGGAAAGTGCGAAAGAGTAATAAATGTAATGAGATTTTTGTTGGGAAAAGAATGGGATGCAAGTAGATTATCAATGAAGAGAATATATGTGGCTCTAATTAGATCGGTATTAGATTATGGGTGTGTGGTTTTTGGTTCTGCAGCTCAATCTCAGTTAAAAAAGCTTGATGTAATCCAGGCACAGGCCTTGAGGTTGTGTTGTGGAGCTTTTAAAACTACCCCAGTGTAAGCATTACATGTAGAAATAGGAGAATTTCCTTTAGAATTAAGAAGGAAGCAGTTGATGGTAAATTATTGGGCAGGTTTACAAGGGCATAATGATTCACATCCTACTAAGGCAATGTTACAGGAGAGCTGGGAATACGGGAAAAGGCTAAATGAGAACTTTGGTAGGATTGGAAATGACTCAGCTAAAGAATTAGGAGTTTTTAATTTGAGGATAAGTTGCACAGTAGTTTATCCAGAGACGGCTCCCTGGAAGTTAGTTTGGCCTGAGGTAGATTGGTTTGTGTTAGAGGAAAAAAGGAGAGCAAAGGAAGGTATAAATCTAAAAATAGTCTTCAACAATCGGATAGCGGAAAAGTATAATGATTACATTCAGGTTTATACAGATGGTGCCAAGGAACCAGAGACAGAAGTAACAGGATTGAGTGTGGTGGTTCCAAGTAAAGGAATTGGAATTAATAGAAGAACACCTAATATGTTAGGGGTTTATACAGTGGAAATGCTGGCAATATTAATAGCTGTACGATGGGTGGAAAAGACAGGGCAGTATAAAGTTTTGGTTTGTTCAGATTCATCATCAGTTTTAGCAAGTATAAGGTCATTCTATTCAAAAAGTCGGCAAGATATACTGTTTGAAGTCCTACAGTCAGTGACAAGAATATCTAATCAAGGAAGGCAGATACCATTTTTATGGGTACCAGGACATGTAGGGATAAGGGGAAATGAAATGGCAGATAAATTAGCTAAAACGGCGTTAACAAAAGGAAACAGAAATGCAAGTAAGTATCAGTTAAGCAGAGGTTAAAAGTGTGATATGAAAGACAATAAATCTAATGTGGCAAGAGAGGTGGGATAGAGAGGGGAAAGGAAGGCATTTTTATCAAATCCAGAGGGATGTTAAATGTTCAGTGATTGGAAGTAGAAATCGCAGAGAGGAAACAGTCATATCTAGGTTAAGATTGGGACATTGTTTATTAAATAAAACACTCAAGTTGATAGGAAATGATACTGGATTGTGTGAGGTTTGCCAGGAAGAGGAGTCAGTGGAGCATGTGGTCTTGAGGTGCAGCAGGTATGATTTTCAGAGAGAGTTGATGAGGAATAAGTTGAGAGAGATAAGAGGTTCAGGACATGACATTAAAAGGGCTGTTGAGCACACAACATAGGGCACAGACTAGAATTCTTATGGATTTCTTAAGGGACACAGGGGTTTTTAATAGAGTATGAAGAGTTATAGGAGTATTGAGGAAGGTTAAAATTATTATTATTATATAGTAGAATAAGGATGAAGTGTGTGGATTTGTATGCTTGGGGGAGAAGGAGGGAATTTGGGTGTATTAGTCTGTGAACCTGTTGTCTGATCCACACTCCGGAGCAGATGGTGGCGGTAATGCACCAAATACGCTGGATGCCAACCGCCGTTAAACATTAAGAAGAAGAAGAAGAAGAAGAAGAAGAAGAAGCTCTTTTCACTCTGGCTGGTCTGGTTTGAGGGGGATCACTATGCTGTCGAACTCACATCTATCCGTAAGTTACAGCAGATACTCTTAAAAATGCATAGTGCTGCAAAAATCGACCATGGAAATAGTTAGCTACCAAACATTGTTAATTAGTTGGAAAGTGGCGACGTGCACTCGTGAAAAGTGTAAGCGAGGCAGAGCGCATAACTGGAAAAAAAAAGAAGAGACGCTGAAACAGGAAAACATGACCAAACAAGTTGTCTAGCACACCAGATCATTTTATAAACACCTAAAAGAGGATTATAAGTGAACAATTTAACGTGGAGCGTTTGCTTCGCTGCATCAGGTGCGTTCACAGTGCTTGTGCTGTTTGATGCGGGTGACACGGCGTGAATGTTGTTTCTCTTCGCATTACTCTACGGTATGAGTAACACTGAGCCTTATTTTCAAGAATTTGCGGATGTTGACAGAAGTGAAGAATTTTGACCGATTTCAAGTCTTCACCTCAAGCACAGGAGCCCTACACCAAACGAATGCTGGAGAGGTAATCCAGGTATTTTGTTTTTGTTCTCATCCCTCTGCTATATGTGATTATTATGTGCATAATAGCGTTTAAAAGGTAAAATTCACGGCCATCATGTCATGTAATGTAGCATGTTCCAGTGCCAAATGAACAGGGAGGCCTGCACTCTCTACTTCAAAGCAAAGCAGCAGTGTTACCTGAGGAACACAGGAAAACAGGATCATTTAAAGTCCAGGAGACTGCTTGTCAAAGTTTGTGTCAGTCACTTGGTGGAGAAGGGTGAATTGTAAGTATATAAATTCAAAAAAATATTCGACCACACTGAATTTTACTCAGTGGTGTTTGCCCTGTCAGATAAGTGTTTTAATATTGTACATGCTCTGTTTTCAGTTACCCATCAAGTGCTGAAAAGCTTGTTTTTGTCACTACTTTCACATCTTTGCAGGGTCGGATTAAAGGAAAAGGAGATGGATTTGTAAGTAATATGTAATTAATGTCAAAAACAGCCAAATGTGTTTTTTTACTCTGAAAGAACATTTTGGTTGTTGCATTCCTTGACTGTTGTCAGTTGGCCTTTACATTTCTCATGATAAACTAACTTACAGTTTACTACATCATCTGACTCTTTGATAGATATTAGAAATTAATTAAAACGTCTATTGTTGAGATCAATACCTTGTTCTTCAATTTATAATCTATAATTTATAAACAATTTGCTAGTGTATACTTAAACACAAAACCTTCTTTATCTATCCATCTATCAATCTATGATCTATCTATATATCCATCTATCTATCTATACACTTTTTATGTTGGATATATTGATTTATCTATAATTTATAATCACATAATTTGCAAGTGTATACTTGAATACAAAGCCTTCTTTGTCTATCTGTCTATAGTATCTATTTATCAATACACTTTTTTATTTTGGATATGTTGATTTATAATCTATAAATTGTAATGATAATTTGCTAGTGTATACTTACAAAACCTTCTCTATCTATCTATCTGTCTGTCTGTCTGTTTATCTGTCTGTCTGTCTAATCTCCACACGTTGAAGAGGATGTGACGTATTTGTTGAGCCTCCTCAAGAATATATAACCAAGGAAGGCAGATAAAATTTTTATGGGTACCAGGACATGTAGGGATAAGGGGAAATGAAATGGCAGATAAATTAGCTAAAACGGCGTTAACAAAAGGAAACATAGAAATGCAAGTAAGTATCAGTAAAGCAGAGGTTAAAAGTGTGATATGGAAGACAATAAATCAAATGTGGCAAGAGAGGTGGGATAGAGAGGGGAAAGGAAGGCATTTATATCAAATCCAGAGGGATGTTAAATGTTCAGTGATTGGTAGTGGAAATCGCAGAGAGGAAACAGTCATATCTAGGTTAAGATTGGGACATTGTTTATTAAATAAAACACTCAAGTTAATAGGAAAACATGATACTGGATTGTGTGAGGTTTGCCAGGAAGAGGAGTCAGTGGAGCATGTGGTCTTGAGGTGCAGCAGGTATGATTTTCAGAGAGAGTTGATGAGGAATAAGTTGAGAGAGATAGAGGTTCAGGACATGGCATTAAAAGGGCTATTGAGCACACAACATAGGGCACAGACTAGAATTCTTAATGGATTTCTTAAGGGACACAGGGGTTTTTAATAGAGTATGAAGAGTTATAGGAGTATTAATAATAATAATTAAAATTCCTTACATTTATATAGCGCTTTTCTGGGCACTCAAAGCGCTTTACATAGAAGGGGGGAATCTCCTCAACCACCACCAGTGTGCAGCATCCACCTGGATGATGCGACGGCAGCCATAGTGCGCCAGAACGCCCACCACACACCATCTTATTGGTGGAGAGGAGATAGAGTTATGAAGCCAATCAGCAGATATAGGGATGGTTAGGAGGCCATGATGGTCAGAGGCCAATGGGCGAATTTGGCCAGGATGCCGGGGTTACATCCCTACTCTTTTTCGAAAGACATCCTGGGATTTTTATTGACCACAGAGAGTCAGGACCTCGGTTTAACGTCTCATCCGAAGGATGGTGCTTGTTGACAGTATAGTGTCCCCGTTAATGACCACAGAGAGTCAGGACCTCGGTTTAACGTCTCATCCGAAAGACGGTGCTTTTTGTCCCCGTCACTACACTGGGACGTTAAGACCCACACAGACCACAGGGTGAGCACGCCCTGCTGGCCTCACTAACTTTTACTAACAACTAACTTTTCCCAGGAGGTCTCCCATCCAGGTACTGACCAGGCTCAACCCTGCTTAGCTTCAGTGGGCAACCAGTCTTGGGCTACAGGGTGATATGGCTGCCGGTGTCAATTGTCAATTTCTATATTGTTATTGCCTATTTACTTGTTCTAATTTTATTTTTTTTTTATCTGTGTTTTTGTCCTGTCACTGTCATTCTGTTGCACTGTGGAAGCTTCTAGGGATAAGGGGAAATGAAATGGCAGATAAATTAGCTAAAACGGCGTTAACAAAAGGAAACATAGAAATGCAAGTAAGTATCAGTAAAGCAGAGGTTAAAAGTGTGATATGGAAGACAATAAATCAAATGTGGCAAGAGAGGTGGGATAGAGAGGGGAAAGGAAGGCATTTATATCAAATCCAGAGGGATGTTAAATGTTCAGTGATTGGTAGTGGAAATCGCAGAGAGGAAACAGTCATATCTAGGTTAAGATTGGGACATTGTTTATTAAATAAAACACTCAAGTTAATAGGAAAACATGATACTGGATTGTGTGAGGTTTGCCAGGAAGAGGAGTCAGTGGAGCATGTGGTCTTGAGGTGCAGCAGGTATGATTTTCAGAGAGAGTTGATGAGGAATAAGTTGAGAGAGATAGAGGTTCAGGACATGGCATTAAAAGGGCTATTGAGCACACAACATAGGGCACAGACTAGAATTCTTAATGGATTTCTTAAGGGACACAGGGGTTTTTAATAGAGTATGAAGAGTTATAGGAGTATTAATAATAATAATTAAAATTCCTTACATTTATATAGCGCTTTTCTGGGCACTCAAAGCGCTTTACATAGAAGGGGGGAATCTCCTCAACCACCACCAGTGTGCAGCATCCACCTGGATGATGCGACGGCAGCCATAGTGCGCCAGAACGCCCACCACACACCATCTTATTGGTGGAGAGGAGATAGAGTTATGAAGCCAATCAGCAGATATAGGGATGGTTAGGAGGCCATGATGGTCAGAGGCCAATGGGCGAATTTGGCCAGGATGCCGGGGTTACATCCCTACTCTTTTTCGAAAGACATCCTGGGATTTTTATTGACCACAGAGAGTCAGGACCTCGGTTTAACGTCTCATCCGAAAGACGGTGCTTTTTGTCCCCGTCACTACACTGGGGCGTTAAGACCCACACAGACCACAGGGTGAGCACGCCCTGCTGGCCTCACTAACTTTTACTAACAACTAACTTTTCCCAGGAGGTCTCCCATCCAGGTACTGACCAGGCTCAACCCTGCTTAGCTTCAGTGGGCAACCAGTCTTGGGCTGCAGGGTGATATGGCTGCTGGTGAATTATTGAGGAATAATTGAGGTATTGAAGAACGTTAAAATTTTTATTAGTATTATTATATAGTAGAATAAGGATGAAGTCTGTGGATTTGTATGCTTGGGGCAGAAGGAGGGAAGGAGGGAATTGGGTGAATTAGTCTGTAAACCTATTATCTGATCCACACTCCGGAGCAGATGGTGGCGGTAATGCACCAATTACGCTGGATGCCAACCGCCGTTAAACATTAAAGGGGTCATATGATGCAATTTCAATTTTTCCTTTCTCTTTGAAGTGTTACAAGCTCTTGGTGCATAAAGAAGATCTGTAAAGTTGCAAAGACTAAAGTCTCAGAATTTGCCACTGATGATTCAAACGCGAGTTTTGGGCAGTGTAGAGTAGCGCTTGTTGTTTGTCATTTCTCCGATCACAAATGCAGACATGGTTTTATGTTTACGCGGCGCGATGCAACGCAACGCGTAAAAAGACAGTAGGCCTATAAGTCATTATAATCCGTAATTATGTCCCCACTCGATGCAACGAATGCCCTGTTTATAATGGGTTTTAATGTTTGTCTCGTCGCTCCGGCCTGACAGGGCATCACAGTATGGTAGGGCCGTAACATTTCCGTCACACGCTTGAGGTATTCGGCCAATCACAACGCACTGGCTCGCTGGCCAATCACAGCACACCTCGCTTTTCAGACCGATGAGCTTTGTAAAAATCGACGCGTTTCAGAAAGGCGGGGCATAGAGGA